GTGTTTGTTTGCTATTAGGAAAGTTGGTCAATGGAAAACACTTTCCAGTCAAAGAAAAATTTGGCTTGGTTTTCAGGAACGTGTTTTCCTAAAAAATTTGGGCAGAAAACACTTTCTGGAAATTGTAAAAAAATTAGAAATGTCATTATTTGCTGATTATATCAAATTTGATCCTCAAATTTTTTATTGCTATATATATTTTGCTTTGAATATTTATTTTTCAATTTCATTTCATAAAATTTATTTTTTATATTAACTTTGATCCTCATTTTTCTCCTATTATTTTTTTATTGAAATTTTTTATCTATCAAATTTGGTCCTCATTCTTTTAATTGTTACTTATTTTATTTGAAATACTTTATGAAATGTTAATTATTATTATTTTAATTTCATCATCTTCATTTTTAGATTTGATCTTTATTATTTTGATTATTATTTATTTTATTTGAGATAATTTATAAAATTATATTTTTTTCAATTTCATTATTATGCAACTTTTTAATTTGTAAGATTTGTTCCTTGTTATTTTAATAAATTTGAAAAAACTAAAACATTAATAAATTATTTTCCAGTTTATTTTTCATAACATAACCAAATACTGGAAAGTGTTTTCCAGTTCATTTTCTATAATACTACCAAACATCAAAAACTAATTCACTTTCTAGGAATTCATTTTTTCCGGAATTTATTTTTTAAAAAAAAAACAACTTTTCTGCAAACAAACAGAGCCCTAGTCTATGGTGTATATTCCAAAGAAAGAAGGGCAAACTGGTCAAATCAACAAAGTCATTAAATATTTGATGAAGCCAAGAAATAAATCCAGTGGTCATTGTGTCAATATGGTTTGAAAGTGTGAGAGAGAGAGAGAGAGAAAGAAACTAAAAATTCTATGGAAGAAGGTAAAGGACCACAAAGGACAGGTACTAAAACAATCCATAAGAACAACACAGATGCTTTTTCTTTGTTTAGTGATCTTTAATTGATAACAAATATTAAAAAACATAGCCACCTCATTTTAATCTTTCTTTCTTTCTTTAGTTGTCTTCATATGTGAGAAACAAATACCCAAAATTCCCAAAAAAAAAAAAAGAGAAATGAAATGGGAAAAAGTGAAAAATTTTAAGAGCCCTTTTTAATTTAATAAGAGCACAGACTTTGAGTCGAATTTATTCTTAGGCCTAAAAGGATCTAATAAAAAATTTATTTAAATTTTTTTATCAATCTTTCTAAAAAACTTTTAATTCAACAATCAAAAGAAGCATTTTAAAAAATATATTAAATGAAAAGCATTCTAACACAAGGTTAAACAATTCTCCATTTTGATCTAAACATAACTAGAAATAATGCAAAATTAGGATTATGTTCAACTATATATAATATCATCATAAATATCTCAATAATCATATACACAATAAAAATATCATTCAATGTTTTTTTAGCAAATATCAGCAGTAACAGCAATAAAAAATATAAATAACATAAAAAGAAAGTAATTTTTGAAAAAAAAAACCATACTAGATCAATATTCTTATTCGTGATATCCTCGAGACTAATGGCCTTTGCCATCTTTCCACTTTAGCACCCGAAAACCACAACTAAGAGCCAAAAATCTCTCCCTCTCTTAATCGGTTTTTGGTAACAAGATTATGTATAACTCAATATGAAAGAAGAAAAAGAAGAGGAAGAGAAATGAATGTAAAGGCCATTCAATGAGACCTTGTCTATCCCAAGAAAAGGACCAAAGACGAAGAGAGAGTATGCAGGGATAATTAAGACATAGAAAGTTTCTTTCAAGCCCTTATAACCTCTGCTTTTATACACATCGATGGACATGTTTTTACTTCACCCCCCTCTCTCTTAAACCTTATAAAGGTAGGACCCACATTCACAGTTAGGAAGTTTGAGTAGTTTTAAGGATCTCTATCTCTCTCTCCTCCCTAATTGGTGACTTACCGGGGTTAGTTGTTGTCTTGGGATTCCAAAACCTTTCCTTTCCTGGAAGAATGTAATATGGACATCGTAGAGTGCTACTTTACTAGTAGGTTACCGAAAACGTTAAGATTTTCAGCATTTATTCTCATGAATAAATAGAATTTCCCTTATAATAATTTAATATTAATTCACTTTAATACGGGTTACTAAGATTATTAATCATCTTCTTCCACAAATCTTGTTGTTGTTGTTTGCATGCATGTCCTGTGCTAATTTTTAAAAACAAACAAAAAAGATTAAATTTTGAATAATGTTGATAGATAGAATGAAATAAACATCATCTTAGAAGTTTAGACCTATAAAAAAATTTGACTGAGTGATTTTTAGATCATCAAGTGTTACTCAAATAATTAAAATATTTATTAATTATTTTTAACAAATTCATAGCGATGCCGAGCTCCAACTTTAGCAGGACAAAACTAATAGTAGAATTTAGGAGTTAAATTAACGTGTTTTTAAATGAAAACTTGAATATAAATTCTAGTTGTAAAATAAAAGTAAGATGTTTAAGGATCTCAAATTTATATTTTGTGAGTTAAAATATATATCAAAGTTTAATAATAATCAAATTTTGAAGAGATACTGTGAATCTAATTTTCATTATTTCTAAACTATATGTGAAATGTATATTATGGATTTTATTTGCTTTAATACACTCATTTTCTTTATTTGTTTGAAATGACAAATTCGAAAAGACTTATTTTCATTTCATTCAAAAGAGAGAAATACTTACATAATTATGTACACTACACATGAATTCAAATAAATAGCCTTTTTTGTTATGGTAAATGGAGGAAGATTTTAAATTTATTTTAACAAATGTATGTGCTTAGTCTCACAAATAAACTATAGATTAATATTAGATTTATATTCAACTCTTCATGCGATAAATTTAACTGGTAGTTATATATCTGTATATCGATGATTTCTTTAATTTGGTGTAATAAGGTCCAAAGTCTATTTTTGTTTCTTAATATATAATAGAAAAAATAATAAAAACTATTCTTTATTGTGTATTCCAAAATATATAGAGGCCATTTGATAAATAAAAAAAAATCATTTATTTTATTTTTCCACAAATATAAAATATTATACATGATAAATAAAAAAACAAATGAGAGACAAGCGAATTAATGTTATCGCGAGATCAAAATCATGAAATACGCAGAAAAATATAATAGAGGTTTTTATATATAGTTACTGTTCACTATTTTAGCTCCTCCTCCTCTTTCTTTTTCTTTTTTTTTAATTACAGCCTTATTATTTGAAACCTCTATTCTTTATTTTATTTTTTAAATGTCCCTTAGCATCGTTAGTTAACATGTATATATGACACATTTTATAAGAGAAGATATCAAGATGAGCTGAAGGGTAAAAATATAAAATAAAAAGTTGGTCATTTAGTTTTATAGTAACTAAAAATCTTAACTGAACTTTAGAGTTCTGGATAACAAGTGCTATAGTGAAAATAAGTATCATCCTAAAACATCTTATCTAAGATAAGTTGCATTGGGTTTGTTTCTAATGATAAAATATATTTGTGCTCTTGTTAAAATTGGCCTAAATTGGTATATTTTAGCTAAAGGGACTTGGATTCGAGACGATGAAAAATGACAAATCAAGTTTTAAGCCCCTTTCTTAGGATATGTTCAAAATGGATCCAAATACCACAACTCATACTCATTAGGTCTTTTGAGGTTCCATTGACCCCACATGATTTCATTTATAATGATGAGACAATATTTTATTCAAACAATATAAAAAGAAAAACAAAAAGCCTAAGCGTGAAGGTCTAGTTAGCCTAGCACCCCTCGATCTCCAAATAAAGGTTGTGAAACACAAGCTTAAGGCAACTTAAGCACCTGGGCCTTTTAAATTTATATATATATATATATATATATATATATATATATATATATATATATATATATATATATATATATATATATATATATATATATATATATATATATATATATATATATATATATATATATATATATATATATATATATATATATATATATATATATATATATATATATAGCTAGTGATTTAAAAAAAAAATAACAGTCCTTTCATCGCTAAAAAAATTTATTTTTAACTATATTTTTATTTTACCAAAAAACAACCAATAAAACTAAATAAAATCATCCATGTTTTTAAATAATCTAAAAAACAATTCAAAAATCATCCTAAAACCCAAAAAATTTATAAGTTGAATCTAAAAACAATTTGAAAGTTAAAAAACACCTTAATAAAACTTTGCTTCAAACAATATAATTTATATTGTCAATTGACATTCTCTATTATTATCATTTAATGACTCTCTTTGTTATTGAATCTAGAGATCAAAAAAATAGATAAATAAAATTTATACCATAAATAAATTTTGAAAAAGTCACAGGGACAAAAAATAAATTGATATGTTGACCAAAGTCAACTTTTTTCAATTTTAAAATGGCTATCTATTTTGTTCATATTTTTTATTTTGATCTCAAACTTTCAATTTTACCCTTCTATATAATAGGGGGAGAAAAACAATTCACCATCAATTTAGCTATTCAAAAATGCAATCAAAAAGCAAAAACGTTTGGTGACCAAAACAACAAACCAAAACAAGAATCACTATAAAAGGTAAGAGGAGTTATAAGCATCGGGCTCCCTCGCCGTTTAGTATTTCCTACAATAGTGTTTTTTTTCCTTCAAATTAAAAGCTGATAGCCAGCACGTTAAAATAAGAGATAAGATCAAGTTCTCGGTGGATTTGTTATGGAAAAAGAAAGCCAAAAGAAAAGAAGTAATGTAAAGGTGAATATTCCAATTTAAAATAGAATAAGGACACTTGAGTAATTTTATTCTCCAAGTTACAGGATCTAAGGAGATAATAATTAATATGCTCTTTATCCCTAAAAAAATGGATAATTAATGGAGTTTTTAAATGTTCTTAAACGGTTAGTTTTACCCATCAACCAAAAACACCTCTTGAAACTTTTATACCGTCCGTACACAAGAGACTTTTACACCGCAAAAGAGATTTGTTTAAAAAAATATCTCCAAATCATGCAACTCAGTCAAGAACTGAAACAAAACTACATCGGCTATAATTAACGAGTATCGTGTAGCTTGTCAAGCCCTCCTCTGCGGCCAGTGTCCGATGACGAATCCAAATAATTATCAGTTTGGAGCCAAAAAAAACTACAAAAAGTTGACAACACAACCACCTCTACTGCAAATCTCAAAATTTCAAACACCGGAAGTAGCTGCAGTAACAAAAATAAGATTAAATGAAAAATGTTAAGCACTACGCAAAAAAAGTGTTACTTACACATATCTCTAGTCTACAAGAGGTTTGAATTATCCATCCTTTTGGGTAACCACGATGCCAGTAGGTGCTTTTAGTAGTTTGAAATAGAAAAATAAATGCAATGGCATTCAAGCTACATACAGTGAAAATATTCTGTGCTGAGGAGTGAACATGCAAGAGGAATTAAAGAAAAGCAACAATACAATGCGAGTCAAGATGAGAACAAGTACCTTTAGCAGGAGGTTCGTCCTGAGGCTTCATGGCTGGGAAGAGAAGCACCTCCTGCAACCCAAAAAGCAAGCAGAATCGATGAGTAATAGATGAAATTTAAATCCCTACACTGACTTGCTACTGTGTGAGCCAGCGCTGGCATGCAAACATAAGGACACACCCCCACCAACAACAAAAAAACACAAGGGGGGTTTGGCACAAACCTTTATATTCTGTGAATCAGTTAACAGCATAGCTAACCGATCAATGCCTAGTCCCCATCCACCAGTTGGTGGCAATCCATATTCAAGAGCCATACAAAATGTTTCATCCAAAGCCATTGCTTCATCATCACCTGATTGTCGATCCTGAAATTTGGAAACAAATTGCTGTAAGGCATAATTTCCAGTCATTACTCTAAAATTACAGACTGCAAAATGATAATGTTACCTTCAGTTGTGCTTCAAATCGTTGTCGTTGTACCACAGGATCATTCAATTCAGTGTATGCATTGCAAAGCTGCTCGGTCACAAAATATCAACCATATACAAGCACAAGTCAGGGCATAAGTAGAAGATAAATCAAAAGAAACAACAAGCATGAATAATGTAGTTGAGCAAAATACCTCATGCTTGTTGACAAATAATTCAAAGCGTTCAGTCAAGCCTGGTTTCGATCTATGCCACTTTGCCAACGGACTCATAATCTCAGGATGGTTGATGATGAAGGAGGGATTTACACAAGTCTCTTCCAGAAAGTGTCCCACCAGCTGTGGATACAGAAGAAACACCAAAAATTACAATAACATGAATCTTAGAAAGTTCCCAGTCCTTTATATGCTTGAAACTCAGCTTTGACCATAAAAAATAACTCAACATCAATATAACATGCTACATGATAAGCATGCACTATTCACACAGGATGCACCAAACTGAAATTTGATTCAAACAATCAATTGTGTCAGAAAAAGGAGCATTAAACACAATGTGCGTCTGCACACACTAACTATGATATGAATGAGAGCACATGTGAAAACAGTAGGATACAAATGAGAACACAAATAGAATGAAATGCTTTCAAACACACACACATGAAAACAGTAAGATACGAATGAGAACACATGTGAAAACAGTAGGATACGAATGAGAACACAAATAGAATGATTAGACAATTTATCTAACAGTTGTCTAAACAAAGAGATGGGGAAGAAGAATTACTTTGTCTAACAATCGAGTTGTCGTTTGAGGAGGGGGGCACTTGACCTCAAACCTCTCACATGCAGCCACAAGATACTTGGTAGCTTCATCACTGGAAAGGTCCTTAGGTATATTGAGGTTGGCCATCTTCTCCAACTCCTCAATCATGTCAATCCGTCTGCAACAGTTACAAACTGTTATTTCCATCATCCACAAATGCTGTCAAGAGTTCAGACTATGCCATTGATGAAAAGTGACATCTCACGGACCTAAACGGTGGTGTGAAGTCAATCTCAATTGGATCCTTGTCAAGCCCATTTGCATGATATTTAATTTTGTAGCCACCTGTAAGTTCCTTGACCATGCCTGTTTTGAAAAACAAAGTATTTTCAGTTTAAAAAAAAGTGGGAGACCAGTGTGAAAAAAGAATTTTGCAACAACCAAACATTCACTCTTACCACTCAACATTTTCTCAGTGAGTTCCATCAAGTCATTGTAGTCAGCATAAGCCATATAGAACTCACAGGTTGTGAACTCAGGATTATGTGTCAAATCAATACCCTCATTCCTAAATTGTTTTCCAATTTCATAAACACGATCAAGTCCACCAACAACTAATTCTTTAAGATAGAGTTCAGGTGCAATGCGCATGTACAGCTTCATGTTCAGATCATTATGATGAGTTTTGAATGGACGAGCAGCAGCACCACCAGGAATCATATTCATCATTGGTGTTTCAACCTGAATACAAAGGTTGAAATAATCAGCAAGAAAGAAATAATTACATGAGAGAGAAAAATCAAGGTAGAAGCTTTCAAAACAACAAAATAGAAGACTGACCTCCAAGAAATCAAGATCGTCAAGAAAGTTCTGTATGTATTTAATGATTTTAGATCTGGTCTTGAAAATTTGTCGAACCTCCGAATTCAGCATTAGATCCAGATATCGTTGACGATACCGTGTTTCCTAGAATGAAACAATAAAATAAATAAATGACCACTCCAAAGAGGGAAGGAAATTGTTAAGACCCATCCGAGGATGCTAATATTGGATAAGAAATAACAGAAAACATGATCTTATCAGTTTCCCAAAAATATCGTATTTTGTCACCAGAGAATAAAAGCAAGACACAAAAATTAGCTAACAAAAAAATATAATGATTTTATTGTGTTATTGTCAGGAAAACACTTCCATTGTTTCAATTCCATGACTATTTTGAGCCAATATTCAAGTTTTACAAGACAGCTAGTCATGCAACTTCAGGTGACATCATTACTTGTAAGGCTAATTTAAGTATACCAAGCATTAACCAAAAGGTCAGCTTCATCCATTATCCCTTGTAGGAAAATTCTTCCAGTCTGACAGTAATATAGACAACAAAACTAATCACTCAAGAAGTAAATGTCATTGACAAGCACACCAAAGTGATCTTGGTTAGGGTGACTTGTTCATTCAAACAACAGTTAACAAATATTTGAGAAGATAAGAGGCCTTATCTTTTAAAACAGACAAATTTCTTTAGGGTAAATACCTGATCTTTTAAAATATATGCTTCAGGGTTCCTGACTGATCCTGGGATCCAAACCTCAGATTTCTGTAGAACAACATAATTCCATCACAATATAATCTCAGCCCAAAACAACTGAGTAACAACAAAAGTTTCTAACCTTTGCACTAGCATCCGAGCCAGGACCAGCTTTCTGCCTGGGCATCATATGCAGACAATGAGACAAAACCATGAAAGATGTTGGAAAGATGCTCAGCTCTCCCCTTTTGGTTTTTCCTATATTAGAAGAAAGGAATTCATTACAAATGATAAAAGGATTAATTTTCTAGCAGATCCATATTAGATGGAAAAAAGATTAACAAAAAATCAGTATAGCATAGCATCTGTAGCAAGATGACACCAGAAAACATTACTAATTCATTCTGACATCAAATAGGACAGAAAAGAGCAATATTTCTGGAAATGCTTCAATATAACAATCAAAATGGTCCATATAGCAATATATTCTCTCTTCTCAAGTCTTGTTTAGTTGGATCTATCCTTGATTATTCCACTGGTACATTGATAGAAAAATACAAATGAATTCCCATGTCTGCAGAATTCAATGCACAAGCATGCACACAATAACAATATACTTGTCATATATAGAGGGTTTGTACTTTTTATTACACTGTCTAAACTTGAGATATCGATTAGTTTGATTGTCGTAAGATTCAGCTTGAATTCTTTATCAATGAAATTGGTAATATCTCAAATGTTTCCAAAAATATTCTGAATGTCCGGAAGATGATTACAAGTGCAGCTATCCATTCTCACCTCACTGTGCACAAGAAATTGTGCACACATATAGAGATATGCATCGAACAGCAATCCTATCTTGTGAAAGAGGCCATCATTGAAGATTGACTAGCAATTCTTCTAAACTAGGTTTCACGTACTTTCCTTGACTTAATTCTACGCTTTCTACAAGTATGCATATCCATGGAAACATGTGCAGCTGCACGCATGCAAATACACAGCGAGAGAAGATGAGGGAACAGCTTCAACAATGCTATATCACAATTGAGGTCCAGTTTCATAACATGATTACTAAATATCATAAAGAATCAACCACTACAAGTTTTCAACACAGTTTTTGTTACAAGAAAGAGTTGCATCCCCTATGAACCTTGATACAATGTTCAATAGCTATTGGGGGACCTTCAGTTGCAATTAGGTCAGGGCAAAGAAAAAGATTCTGTTTGATAGTACAAATATAGAGGGTGAAATAGGACTTGCATTAAGTTATTTATTTGTTGAAAATATAAGATAAAAGGGAAAGCACAGCATATTAACTAGCACTTGTAATAACCCAAACCTGGAAATCCAGTGACACCAACAATATCACCACGCTTCACGCTGGAATGGAGCTTAGAAAACTCGGCTTCATCAAAACCTGACTTGCTGAAATTACAGAAATGAAAATTTATCCATTTGAATGAGAAATGACGCAAAGAAAGGAACATATGGAAAAAATCACTAGATACCTTGCATCAGCCATCACTTGGACCTTAGCACCAAGACCGTGCAGATCATAAAAGAACAACTTTGAAGAGGAAGATCTTTTACTCATTATTCGACCTAGTAAAACACGGAAATAAAAAAATTCAACAAAATGAAATATGAGAACAAAGAATTACGTAAAACAATAGAGAAAAAGTATCTGTGTTCAAAATTACCAGCCAAAGACACAGAAACATCCTCAAGATGCTCTCCATTGCTTAACCCCCCATACTTGTCAATATATTCAGGGATGGTCAGTGAAACAAAAAACTTATGAGGGTACATATTTTTCCCTTCTCCCTTCTGAGCATCAAGATATTTCAGCCTGTTTTCATAATATTGCTGTAACAAAAATCAAGAAACGAATTCAAAAATTAAACCTTAACAAAACTTTATTTCTATACTTATCAAGTGCAAACAAGATAAAGCAAGAATAAAGGAGTTAAACCGTGGGATCCATATCTTCATCATCAGCTGCCGCTGCAGATTTCTGAACCTGGGTGCTGGCCTTGGCAGCAGCCTGCAAAAAATTGTGTAACATTGTCAAAAGACACAATAAGAAAATAAAAAAAAAAAGTTTTAACATAAATAATTATAATTGTTTAGACTAAAGCAAGCATAAATAAATAAAATCACAAGGCATTGTCTTAATTCCATATTTGAATTCTCAATAGCATTACAAGGGGGAAAAAAAGAAAGGAATGAAGAGAAAAGGATGGAGACCTGTCTAGCTTTCTCTTCCTCTTTTTGGCGTCTCTCTTCTTCTCTCTTCTTATTCTTTAATTCCTTCTTCAGTGCACTACAAGAGTAACAACATCCCCAAAAGCCACAATCAATCCATCACTTCAAAAAAAAAAAACAAAATTTTCATTAAAAACAAATGAGAGAGAGACTAACTTTTTGCTTATGGTTTTCTCGCCGGGAGCAGAAGCGTCGGTCTCCTCCATTGTTAAATCAGAAAGAGACAAGGCAGCTGTTCGATAGAATGGGGTGGCGGCGACTGAATGGTGGTGTTTTGCTATTATTGTGGTAATAACGATACCTTAGATAGCTAGGGTTTTGATAAGGGCTCTGTCTGGTTTCATTTGAGGTTTTTCTTTTTAAAAAGAATAATAAAGAAAGTACCATTCCATTTTGTTTATTTCAGTTTTAAAATTGTGGATATCTATCTGATTTCATTATTGGAATCTAAAACATAAGGTAAATTAGAGTATAACATTGATAAATTAATATTTAATAAATTATTAATTTTAATTAAATAATATTTTATATTGGTGTTGACTTTGGACTTTGTGATAAACTAATAATTCTAAGATAATTATTTAAAAAATACATATTCAACCTAAAATATAAATTAATAATCTATTTATGTATCAAAATTATATACATGGCGCAATTAGAAAGAGTTGTAAAATATAACTTCAATGTTGTTTATTTTCTCTTAGAATTAATATCTATTTAAATATTATCTCGAACTTTTCTTGAATTAATTTTATTTTTTATGTTATTTTTTATAATATTTTTAATAATTTACTCATTATTCAACAACTTTGAAATTGATTTCTTTATAGCTATGTGATGGAAAGCTATTCTATCTAATTTTCTTATTTATGATATTTTACATGTTTTTTTATTGATGTTTTTGCTTGACTTAATGTTTATGAAATATGTTAATTAAGTTTAAAATAATTTAATTTTAGTTTGTTATAAAAATGGATAGACTCGTGACTTTTAATAACGCGAATTACATTTATAAATTTATTTTGGTTAAGTAAATATATAGAATAATAATAATAATAATTTATAATTCATTTATATAATCACAATTCATAATTCATGTATTCTTTGGAAAAAAATAAAGAATACCTAGAAAAATTAATTTTTTATATCATAATTAATTAATAAACTTTCACAGTCCACAGGGATAAATATATAAAATTAAAAAAATTAAAAAAAAATCCAAATTGTGAGACTCTCTTCACGAAGAGAACAGGAATGAGAAATTTTATCTCCCGCATCCCACAATAAATTCTCTCGTATTTTGTCTCCCTCCAAATACAATGTAAAAGCTTTTTCATTCGGATTGGCACTAGCAGTATTTCTTTAATAAGTGCAAGTGACTAAATTTATTATTATTATTATTATTATTATTATAAGATTAAAAAAAAAAGATGATGATATTAATTTTTATAGATTTATTTTTTCTAATCCTCTCTCTCTCTCTCTCTCTCTCTCTCGCTCTCTATGGTGGATGATAAGCAATTCCCATGTTGTTCAATTCCTCGACAATTTTCCCTCTCTAACTCTTAAAGGTTTCCACTCTAAATGCCAGTTTAATTCACTTTTAATTCCACTTTTAACATATGGTACAAAAAAAAAACTAAATTAAATCAAATTATAGGAGACATGGTGTAATTAACTCTGTTTCTGGAGAGATCAATTTAACTAAAATTAAATGTCCTTTTTGCTAAATGAGATTTAGAAACAAGCTAAACAGTTTTGCAACAGGAAATAGTTCTGACTGCTTTGAATCCAGATCTATTCTCTACTCCAAAACAATTTGTTGAATAATACTCTTTTAGGAGAATGAAAGACAATCTCTAAAAACATGCAAGAAGCTGCATTTGCATTCAGGATAGTAGCGCCTTTAAACATTTCTTTTTTAAAAGAAAAAAAAAAAACCCAAGCCTGCTCGACAAGTTAATCTATCCACTCCACTCTCAAAGATTGCTGTGGATTACGTTTCCCATTTGGTTATTCCTTTGTGTTTTATTTATATTTTTTTTTGCTCCTTTTGACATTGCAATAATTTGTTTTTAGACTTTGCAAGCTATGCTTAGCCGTCCTTAAATAAAGACCTAGCGGTGCGGAGAGAATATTTTATTGCTTAATTAATATTCAGTTTTGTGAAATAAAACTTAATTTTATTGGTTCAGAGCAATTGAAGCTGCAAGATCGAATTTGAGGTTTTGAAAAATTTTGAGAGCCTTGAATTTTATCATATTAGAATTTGATTTGATTGGACAAGAAAAATATTTATGTACCTTTTTTTATTTTAGTTTATGTGCTGTTTTTTTTTAATTTTATCATTTTATATTTGATTTTTTGACTAAATATTTTGTTTTGTTTTTCTATATATAGGGTCTTGCAATCTTGAGTATAAGTTTTCATACTTGGTTTGTTAAAATATAATTAAAGGTTGTTGATTTATAGCAATTAGGACTTTATGGATCAAATTTAATTATAAAACAAACATAGGAGACTTAAGTTAACAGGCAAGGTAAGAATAATTGGTGAATATATTGCATGTGTTATATACTGGGGGAGGTCGCAACACTCTTAAAATAGGTGTCAACTCCTCCATTAGACAAGTAGGCCTCTTGTGGTGGCGATAGATGGTGCACAATGTACTCTTTTACATGGTGTGTTGCTAGAAGCTTCTTTTTTTTTTTTAATTTGTATTGATTATTCTAAATTTTAGAATTGTTTTTTATTTTATTATTATTATTTTAAATTTAATTTTTATTTTTTTATTACTATTTTTTTCTGGATTCTTTTCTAAAATTTCAAATCATTTTCAATTTCATCCTTAATAAAAAAAGTTGCATATTGTCTTCTTATTTTATTTTTTTAATTTCAAATTTGGTACTTATTCTTTTAATTGTTATTTTTAGTTTTTTATTCTTTTGTAAAATTAATTTTTTTTCTTCAATTTTATCATTTAATCAAAAAATAAAAATGTTCTCTCATTTGTTTTTATTCTTAATTCAGGCCATGTTTGTTATGAGGAAAACCAATTCCGGGAATTCATTTTCCTCAGTTTCCCATGTTTGGCATCAATATAGAAAACTAGTCAACGAAACTTAATTCCGGTCAAAACTTAAAACTTAACTTTACCGAAGGAAAGTGTTTTCCTTTTGATAAAGAAAGGAAAACACTTTCATTTTTTTCATTACACACATTACTCTCAAATTCTCAAATCACGGTCTCTCGTTTCTTCGTAAACAATTAGTAAGAAGCAAGCAGGAACAAGTGAACAAGTGCATTATTTTTCTGGAACAATTGAAACTCTTATTTCAGGTATTTGTTTTCCTTTATTTCCTTTATATGTTTTTATTTTTTTTCCTTTATGTTTTTATCTTCTTCGTTAGATCTGCAAGAATTAAGACATGAATCCTTCATTTTCTTGATAAATCTGTTACCTGTGATATTTTTCCCATAACATAACACAGTTTAACCGAACAGGGGAAGGGGAAGGGGATGAACAGAAACCAAGGAACAGGGGAAGGGGAAAGGGATGACGTCACACCCTGCAGAACCGGCAAATCAAAACAAAATCAATCAAAGTAAAATGCCCAAATTTTCCTAGCAAAAAGCAGTCACCATATCAAGGAATTAATCAACCCTTGCTCTCTCTTTTTTTCAAGTCTTAGTAGAAGTTGTCGGGGGAGAGAGGGAGAACTGGGAAGGAGGAGCGGGTCTTTGAGGTATAGCCCTCTTGCCCGTTGAAGCTTTGATCTTTGTCCTGCTTTTTTTTTACACAGAGAAAGGAAGTTAAGGAATTAGATAAAGAACATGGAAAGGCGAGAGAAACCGAGAGGGAATAGGGGAAGAGGAAGGCAAATGAGAGAAACCGAACAATCGAGAGGAAACAGGGGAATGGGAAGGGGAAGGGGAAGGGGAGAAACCGAGATAAACTGAACAGGGAAAGGGAAAGGGGATGACAGAAACCAAACAGGGGGAAGGGATGGGGATGAACAGAAACCGAATAGGGGAAGGGGAAGGGGATGATAGAAAATTTAGGAACAGGGAAAGGGGAAAGGGATGACGGAAACCAACAGGGAAAAGGGAAGGGGATGACAGAAACCGACAGGGGAAGGGGAAGGAGAAGGGGATGAGAGAAACCGAAACTTAACAGGGGAAGGGGGAGGGGATGACAGAAACTGAAACTTAATAGGGGAAGAGGAAGGAGAAGGGGATGAGAGAAACCGAAACTTAACAGGGGAAGGGGGAGGGGATGACAGAAATCAAAACTTAATAAGGGAAGGGGAAAGAGAAGGGGATGAGAGAAACTGAAATTGAACAGGGGAAGGGGGAGGGGATGATAGAAACCGAACAAGGGAAGGGGAATTAGAGGAAGGGGCATGAGAGTTGATTGCAGGGAACCACCGAGACCAAGAGGAAGTTTAATAAGGGAAATTAACAAAATCAAATATAAAAACGTTGATGCATGATTTTTTTGCCACAATTATTGCTTTATTTTGCTATATTTATAAATGTGCTTGTTTTATTTTGCTTTGATTAATTCATGATTAGTGTTTAATTATATTTGTTATGTATTGATAAATTTATCAAATTCATGATTAGTGTTTAATTATATTTGTTATGTATTGATAAATTTGTGGGACGATGCTAGTAATTATATAGATTTCATTGTGCAATGTTTATTAATCGTTGTGAACTTATGAATTGTATAATTTTCAAAA